CCTTACTGTCCCCATAATGGCACTCGGTATAAGGCAGACGTGAACGATAATAAATGGTATGTTTGGGACGGATGAAAACACCTGCAGTGTGCTGACTAAATTTGGGGGGAATTTGAATCCTCGACAATGAGGAAATGTGTAAGACCGACAATTTAATTTGATGGATCCTCTGCATAGCCTTCCTCTGCGAATTATTGAGGTAGTTTTCGAGCCTGTTTGTGCTTTTCTATTCAAATAATGCGTAGCCTAGGCACCGATGTTCTTGTCGGTTGCAATGCTAGTTTTTTTCGAGGGTGGCGGGGTAGTTGATACTCCTTTTGATTAATGGCGAATTCCGCAGAATACTTGTGAGAAGATCCCCATTACGTACTAGTTAGTAGTTGGTAGATTTTAATAATTAATTTGACCCCATTGTGAAAAACTCGGCGGCCTCGGTGGGATTCCAATCCACGTCAGCAGAGGTGGGGCTTTAGTACAGTCAATGCTCTAGCCAACTAAGCTATTGAGGTCCCACTGGGGGGCCTGTGTTTAATCACACTTGGTTCGATTTACCCACCCAGCCTACTGCAACATACAGAATCCACCGATTCTGATACAGTTAGCTGACTGCCCAGACAGGATTTCCTAAACAATCAATCTAGAATCCACCAGCTGACTACCGGACACAGTTCTTCAACTGCCTTCTCCACTGGACTTTCCGAACATCTGTGTTTTTTATTCGAATGGGAAACAGACACATGTGCGCAAAAAAATAGGCGGCCAGTTAAAGAGGGCTGCCGCGCGCTTGCTGTACAGATAGCGTCTTCACTGTCAATGCCTGCCCCATGCAGACGCGGCTGGTCTTTTTCCGTCGGCCCACTTTAGGGACCCAGAAGAGACCTAGGTGGTACGCCGTCTAGCTCAACGTGTGCCGCCACTGCACGCGATGTCGTTCATAATTGTGAAGAATTCCACCCAACCCCCTCTGTCTTGTGCTACGCCCATTTTTTTCCCACGACTGAAAGTGTGCATAGACCCGCTGGCTGACCAGCACTTGACCCCGCATTTTATTTTCCCAACCGACTCCAAGAAGGCTCACCCTCAGATTTTATATCAGAAGAAAGTGTGCTCAGCGATCCCCCCTCTGGAAGGCCAA